AAAATCTCCAGCATGAAACTTTGTAAATCACTTTTGACATGTTCAGTCAGTCACAGCACCTTCTCCATACACTGCACAAATCTCTCTCTCTCTCTTTTTTTTTTTTTTTGCTTTTCAGTTGGGTTTTTACCTTTCTTGAAATAATAAAGCATAATATGCCAAAAATGTTGCATATTTTCTCCCATCTTCAATATTAAAATGAGTACACAAAATTTCACCAATTTTGATTTTTTTAAATGCATGTGGATATGATAGCTGTCACACTACAATCTAAAGAAATTATTTTGAATGAAGTTAAAGATAGCTAAGCACTACTACAGCCATCATATGGGAAAAAAAAAACAAAACAAAGGAAATGTTGGGACAACCCAACATCAAATAAAGCAAAAAATGTTCTTTATTTAGGCAGCATTTTCAAGTTTCAGATCTTTTGTATCACAGATTTTTGATATATCTTCATTTACTTATACTATTCCATGCTATGTTAGTTTATTTTTTAAATATTTTATTTATTTATTTTTAGAGAGAAGGGAAGAGAGGGAGAAAGAGAGGGAGAGAAACATCAATGTGTGATTGCCTCACACACTCCCTCCACTAGAAACCTAGCCTGCAACCAAGGCATGTGTCCTGACTGAGAATCAAAACCACAGACCCTTTGCTTCGCAGTCCGTTGCTCAATCCACTGAGTCACACTGTAGGAGGGTGCATCCAGGGGGCTCCCAGAAGAATTTGCAATGGGGTCCAGAACTCAGGGTGTCCAGGAAATATTAAAAAATATGAGATGTCCTCACCCCCACAAGTCTGAGCTGGGGGGATAGGATACATGGAGCAGGGCCATTGAGTTGTTTTGCATAGCAATAGTTTCGAAGATAACCTCTAGAATGGTCATTTAACATATCTATAACCTTTAACTGGTTTCATAGATATGTTAAATAGCTGTGGCCATGCTTTGAGCCAGGGAGAAGGGAGTGACTTCCACCCAAGATGTAACTGGGAGGCAATACCCCATCCCTCCTTACAGTGCCTGCCTGAGAGCTTGGAGACGATTGGCTCCACACCATGGGGCCATGCCTGCCCAGACTCACTATGGCAGCCCAGTAAAGCTGTGAGGATTTGGAAGTCCTGGCAGGTGTACCAATTGTGGGAGGAGTCAGAAATGGGACTGCAGAGGAAGATTGGCACGGGGATTTAAAGGCAGACACAGCAGCTACTGAAGAGAGAACCACGTGTTTTTGGCCAGAATGGGAACTTTCGCAGCCATGTGACAGAGAATCATCATGTAGCTTTAGCAGAGAGAACCACGTGGCTTTCTATTTCTTTTCCTGAGATGTGGTACCTTGGACTGGGCAAAGGAGGAAAGAAGGACTGTGTGTGTCTGTGGGTGTTTTAAGGGACTTTGGGATTTTGATGAAGACATTAAGTCATTACTCTTAAGTCTGAATAACTTGAATAAATAATTCCTTTCCTTTTTACCAGTCTCTAACATGGAGAGCTATAATTCTCTGGCGAAGGGAAAGGTGAACCTAGTACAGGGGGACCCCAGGAGAAGGGAGGTCAACTAGGTAACATTGTGGGACCCCCTTCCCTGGTGTTCAATCCAGGAAAACCATGGGAGACCACATGTGCAGTAGCTTTACAACTACTTTTCATAGTAAAAGCCTGCCAAAACTAGCTATGGAGGATGCGCCCTGTAAGAATAGAGTTCCTTTAGCCGATGAGGTTAATCTCTGCTTGGAGTTGGCCTGCTCCCATGTTCTCTGCTATAAACTCTGGGTGTTCGGTTCAAATCTTTGTCCCGATCACCAAGAACCTGGTTACCTGTGACCACCTGTGACAATGCCTACCAGGGCCATGCTATGTTAGTTTAAATCTATTTACCTTTTAAAATGTACCGTATTTTTCAGACTATAAGACACACCTTTCCCCCTAAATTTGGGAGGAAAAGGGGGGTGGATCTTATAGTCTGAATGTAGCTGACCCGGATCGCTGTGGGGAGAGGGGGAGACGGTGGAGTGCTGCCACAGGAGGAAGAAGCAGGATCACTGCTGGATTTTCTTCCCAAATTTGGGGGACAGAGGAGTGTGTCTTATAGTCCAAAAAATATGGGTAAATCATACATTTAAAAAATGAAATTTATCCTGAGAGTTTGCTTTAATGTGTCAGTTATACTTTTATTACTTAAAAATATATAAATCTGTATTTTAAAAATAATGTTTTCACAGTACCAACCTACAATCTTTCCTCAAAAGCTCACCCATTAAACCCTGAAGGAGCAAACAAACCCAGCTAGAAGGAGGGCCATGGGAAGGTACCTAAGTTTTAGAGATCATAACACACAGAATGCACCTGCTGTTTTACTCAACAGCCAGACCAGCCAGACTCCCGCCTTCCCCCATCTTGAACTCCACATGACTGTGTCCCTGAGGAGTAGAAGATCTGAATGCTGAGTGTGAAATATCTGAAAGATCTCACAGGGAAAGTAGTATTACTTTGGGTCTAGATGAGAAACAGAGCTCCCTGGCAGAGAAAGAAAAGAAAGGTGAAGTCTTTCAAGCAGAGATAGTGGGTGGCATAAGCAAAGGAAAGAAAGGAGAAGGGGTGGGGGGCTCTGCTTTCCTAAATTTGGCTAAGCCCAGGTTAAAAGGCACAGTCCCATGGCCCCTGGCTCCCAGAGTGTTGGCCTATACGGAGTTTTAAATTTGCATAGCTTGCCAACTGAAAAATTATGGAGATTTTACCTAAAATACAGATCTTTGGCTTTCCTATTAAAGATCCTAATTCCTTCCCCTTCTCAGTTCCATGTTCCTATAGCACTTAAAGACCTTCCACTTTTTATAAATTCTGTGTTTAATTACTTATGTTTAGTGTGATTTTTCTCTCCTAACCCCCCTCTCAATGTAAACTCCAAGAGAACAGGAATTGGGGGGGGTTATGCTTCCTTTACTAAAAAATTTCAATATTAACATGTGTCTGGCACATAGTAGGTATTTAATAAGTATTTTAGTAAAAGAATAGGGGAGTTGGTGGGCTCTGATGTAGGTCCTGGGGTTTCAGGGCACCACCATCCAGGAGGCCCTAGTTGCCCTCTGTCCCAGGGCATACAGGCCTCTTCCAGTGGCTCCCTCAGGCTGAGATGGGAGCACCTAATTCTGTGGCAAGAAGGAAGCAAGGGAGAGGCTTTGACATTTGCATCTGCCAGACTGGCAGGCAAGGCTCCCGGCAGCTCACGCTAGGTTTCCAACTCCATGGTGTGCTTCTAAACACCAGCCATCGTGTTTATCTGCTTGCACAAGGATGTGGAGAAGGCCTGAGCCTTGCTCATGTAAGACACCTATAGTACAGGAGGCAGGGGAGGGGCTGAGTAGGGGGTTTGAGGGGAGGAGGAGGGGTGGGAGTCTTCATCACCAGAGGGCGCCCGAGCCCAGCCGCTGCTCTCGGTCTTGTTGGCAGCTGGCCTGGGCTCTCCTGCTGGGAAATGACCCGCTCCAGCTCTCCCTGGAGGAGATGGATGTCGGGTCCTTGAAGATTGTCTTCTCCACTAGACTGTTAGTTCTTCGCAGGCAGGAACCAAGTCAGTGGGGTTCCCAGCTCTATGCCCAGTGCCCAGAAGTGGGCTCAGCCCGGAGTGGATGAATGAATGAAGAATGAGTGCATGTAATTGGGCAGGAAAATAGTTTTGGAACAAAAGACACCCATCCCCATGGCCTGAGTCCTGGAGCTCTTGCAGCTTCTTGCTGGCCTCCCCCTCTCCGATGGAGTCCAGCTGCAGCAGCTGAGCCCAGGTGCCGTGGGCCTTCACACTCCCTCTGCGGTCAGGGCTCCTGGGCTCCTCAGGAAGAGAAAAATGTTCCTCTTGGATGGACGCGGGGATAGAATCCACTCCACTGTCTGGCTATGTGGGATAGGGCAGGGAAACAAGGCTGGAGCAGCCTGTGGTCACTAGGGATGCCCAAAAGGGCTCCCTTTTCACCCCCAAGCTTCTCGGGATACCTGCTGTACTCCTTCCTGCTCCACTGAAGCCATTTCAGGGTGTCTAGAGTGGGGTGCTGTGGCCTGCCAGAGAATCATCTCTGTGCTCTTCTCCGGACCAGAAACACCAACGCCAGAGGCACTTCCAAGGGAGGGCAGGGAGGAAAGCAGATGAGTTCTCCTGTTAGCACTTTTGGTCCCATAGGGCATTCACTGGAAAGAGGAAGAAAACACTAAAGTTTACACAATTATTCCTGGCTTCCATTTACTGAGTACCGAGCACTTCTCAGTGCAAAAGGGTGTCTCTGTCAATTCGCCCAGTTTCACCTGAGGAGCAGTGGTTAGCCCATTTCTCAATTGAGAGGACTGCTGAACTTACTAAGTGTCCTTCCTTTTGGTGGCACAGCATCCTATTTAGAGACCCAGCTTTACAGTTGAGGAAACTGAGACTTGGCTAGTAGGCAATAGCACTGACTTGGAACCGAAGTTGTTCTGACTTCACAGACTTGTCTCATACCCTCTTAGGCGGAGCTTTGGGGCCACTGCTCAGTGGGCCTGGGCCAGTGGTCACCTCTTTGTTCTACACTCTGAAAAACAAGACATTCTTAGCTACTTTATCCGATGCAGCTGGCCCAGCCTGTCCTTACCCCTAGGACCTACTTTGTTTTTCCTTGGTTTTCATTCAGATCTCCTCTGTGGGACTCCATGTCTCCATCTAAACAATGGGAACAATAATCAACCCTTCAGGCCAGCCACACTGAGAGACTTGGTTCCACACTACAAGTCAGGCTCACAGAACAGGGCCCAATGGACCCCCACAAAGGCTCTAGATCTGAGTGCGCCTCAGCCCCTGGAGAACCCCTAGGGTGGAGGAGAAGCGGCAGGGAGGGGACGGTGGGAAAGGCTCTATGGGGCAGACGCAGGTCAGTACCCTGGGCCGGGTATTTCGCTCCAGGACCGCCCCTCGCTGTGTCCCACCCCTCCCCGCCCCCTCTCCGCCCCTCCCCGCCCCTCCCCGCCCCACTCTTCCTTTCTGCTTCTAAAGCTTCGTGCGCTCTGCCTCTGCTGCTGCACTTTCCCTCTCTGCCTCTACTCAGCCGTCTGGCTTGGGTCCTCCCGCCGCCACCGTCAGTGCCATGGATGCCAAGATCGTCGCCGTGCTGGCCCTTCTGCTGGCTGCGCTCTGCCTCAGCGACGGTGAGTGTGCTTGGCGGAGAAGGACGGACAGGCCCCAGGCTCTGAGCCCAGGGCTCAAAGCTCCCAACTGCACGGTGCCGCAATGCCTCAGCGCCTGCTATGCGAAACCTGGAGTAAACTCAATTTTCACTGCTTTGCCCAACTCACAGTGCTCCCTCCCTCAGGGTGCCGCATCCAAAGTCCCGGGAGCAGCACAGGGGCACTGAGGCTTTGCCCTCCAAAGCCTAGGTAGTGTTCCGTGACTGCTGTGTAGCCACCCGACCTCCCGCCAGCTGCAGAGCAAGGTCTGGCAGGAAAACTGGGTGGGTGCACTAAGGGCGTGTTGTGAGTGGGCCCCAGAGAGGGATGTGTGGAAGTGAGTTAGGAGCCTCGGGTCCTCGTCCCTTGCCCGTCCACCCCTCAGCTGGTGCCTTCTCGCACCAGGGTCCGTTTCCAGAGGCGGATGGGCTCACTGTGTTGGAGGTGAGATCAGCAGCTGGGTTAGGAAAGAGCTCTTTGCAAGCTGGATTTGAATGGCTTGTGGTGGCTGGTGGCAGCAGCTTGGTGGCCCCTCCAGGAGAGGCCGGCTTGCCCTCTTCAGCCACCCAAGCAGAACTCCGAGGGTTTGCAGCCACCCAAGCAGAACTCCGAACGGAACAGCTGTCGGGTTTGCGCCCCCCACCCGGCTGCGCTTCTACACAGCTCCGATGTCCGAAGCGACGCTGCATACTTGGGCAAGCGTCCAGCCGTGGCCTCCGGGTCTCTTCCTGAGGTCCCCCTAGAGAGGCCCTGGAGCCATTAGAGTCTGGCAGTCCCTAGTACCCAAAACACACCTGCAGATAGGAGCTCGCCACCTCCTATGCTCACTGCAGCAAAGTTCAATCGCCGAGACCTTAGGCCATTGTGGGAGGTGGTGTCCAGTTTCACTGGGAGAGTGAGAGCTTTTTTTTCTTTTGAAGCTTGAGAGAATCTCCCTGTCCTGTCATAGGACACCACTGCTGCTGCAAAACAAAATAAACTGTTGCAAATTAAAAAAAAAAAAAAGTTAGTCAGGCCATGCAGCCTGTTATGTTCTTAGCTGCAAAGTTTACAACAAACTGCAAAGGGTTGTTCCCTGCAAAGGGTTGAAGAACACTGAATGCCCTTGGTGCAGCCTAGGTCTGTGCAGGGCCTTAGCTCCTGGATCACTAGGCTAAATTGAGGGAAAGATCCCTTGGTGCATACTGGCCGGAGGTGGTGGGGAAGCCAGGATGGGTAAAGTGAGCAGGGAACAACTGGACCAGGCAGGGGGGCCTGGTTAACAGGGTTTTTGACTGACTCCTGGGAAGTGTTCTTTAAAAGTGTAGCAGGTTGTTTGTCAGAGCTGCAGAGGGACCAGATCAAAGGCAATTTAAAACTTTACTCCTGGTCGAAAATATGTCCTAGGCTGTGTCTCCACATTGACTCCTAGTCATGGAGGCACTCTGGTTTTGTAATTACTAATGCTTGAGTGATCTAGTAAGAGTAGAAGTGTCATCACACACCTCTTTCTGGAGAAATGGTGCTGCCCAAAACTGAAGATAGGATTGGAATGCAGAGACCTAGGTCAGTGAGTCCTGGGCATAGCTGACCTGGGGGGAACATAACCACAGATTCCTATTGACTCTGGGAAGGGTTGTTTGCTTACCTCCCTTGGCAGCCAAATGTCCAGGTCAGTTCCTACACTCCAGACTGGACTGTTCTCCATGCATGCTTAGACCAGAATGTTTTTGTTCTTTAACTCCTGGGGCCTGGCTACCCATGCTGAGTTCCAAAACTGTACTTCGGATATATCCTTGTTCAGGCTTAGGTTTAGGACCCTGCACTCCCTCCACTGGCTGATCTCAGTCCAAAAACTTCCAGAGGTTAAATCTAGGGTGACCTTCATTCCTAGCTTTGGTTGGAGAGTCTGACTGCAGCCTGTCTCTTCATTAGAATGGGAGGTTCTCTGGTAACAGTTCTGAAATAAAGCCAAGGTAACCAAGTCTCAACCCACAGTAACATCTGGGCTAATCAGTGTCTTTCCCGTAAATGGAGTTACATCCACAACGGTTGAAAAAGTTACTAATATTTACAAAAAGTGTTAGAAAAGGACACCGGTAGACACAGTTCTGAGTTCCCTTGATAAAGTGCACTTAAAAAATTATTCATGCCCTAGCCAGGTAGCTCAGTTGATTAGTGTCATCCCTAGGCACCGAGGTTTCAGATTTGATTCCCAGATTTGATTTGATGTGCCAGATTTGCTTCAGGGCACATACCAGAAGCAACCCATGAGGGCATAAATAAGTGCAACAAGTGGATGTTTCTCTCTCCACCCCCTTCTCGCTCCATCTCTATCTCTTTCTCTTTATCTTCTCTCCCTTTGTCTTTCTAAAATCAGTAAATACAAAACCAAAAAGTATATTAAAGTTTCCCACTTGATAGGCAGGCAACTGGGTTCTGGAAGCAGGAATAAGAATTGCCTTTAAGGGAATGAATAACTCCAGGGGAGGAAGGCGGGAAGAGAAGAAAAAGAGAAAGCTTGTGTTTTGTGTCCAGCTAGGCCTGATCTTAACTACCTAGAGCCCAACACCTTTTTGGACACTAGAGAACAGCAGCCCACACCCACCACAGTGTGCATATCATTGCTCCCTATTGTGGTAATGTTGGGACCTGTCCTGGCTCATCACTGGCCCCAGTCCCTACTCAGCACACAAACACCCATGAAAATTCTAGGGAAACCTGGGGGCAGAACACTCAGCGGGAGACTTGGCTTCTCCTTTACCCAGGCTGCCCAGCCTCCAGCCCTGGATTGCTTTCCTAGGTGATCTGGTTACCAGGTAGTACAGATAGGAAATGTCTGTGCAGTCGCTGAAAGCTGGGCCCCAGCAGAGATTTTCTGAGGTTATATTAGGGGTAATATGAAAGTTGCTCCACTGCACCATGACACAACTGGGAGCTCTGCATCAGACTTTCTTTGTCCTCTTTTCAGGGTGTTGAGTTTGGTCCTGGGAGGTCGGGGGGTATTCTGCTCTCTCCTGGACTTGGTGGCTCAGTAGGCTGCTGCACCCAGGCCATGCTATTTCTCAACTGAATGCAGCCTTTAGAAAACAAAAAGTTAAGAAGTCCCTTATTTGCAAGGTTTCATGCAGCTTCCCCAGCTCTGTTGCTCAAAAGTGCAGAACTTCAGAACCACCAGGAGGCCTCCGGGAGGCCTCTGTAAACAAGAGAACTTAAAAAATCTCTGGATGAAGTATTCTCAAGCATACATTTAATCCCCGATGAAAGGATCCACAAAGTCAGGTAATTTGGATTATTAAGTGGGGCTTGGATAAAATCTGCAGGAAAAACCCTCACAAATCCCAGCCTCCCAGGACTTGCAATTCTAGACTTAAAGAATAAGGGTGAGTTCTGCAAGAGCCCTTTGCTAATTTACACTAATGAATGTTAATTACAGCATGTTGCAAATTGGTGAATTGCAAACAAAGATGTTATACAACTCAGGATGCTGTAGGGTCCCTGCACAGGCAGTGAAAGCCATATTTGACTCCAGCCCTGATCATCTCCATGCCTTCTGGGAAGTGCTGGAGGGAAAGTGGGCCCTTGTCCTGTGCTCTAAGGACTTCCAGCTAGGAAGCCAGCACAGATTCTTTTGTGGTCACCTAGGTTTAAGGTAAATATGAGGCAAGAAAACTGCAGGTGGGGGAGTGCAGTATTCCCAGGAGGTTCATGGTAGATTCTGGGATGACGCCTGTGCAGGAGGAGGAAGGAGAGAGAGCTTGGAGCCTCCTTATCACCCCTGCCCTTTTTTTAGTAGGGAAGACTCTCAGTTGGCTCTGGGATTTAACTTTGTCTAGTAGAATAACTGGGAACCTCAGTACCTTTGACTGCAATAGTTCTCTCCTATGATTAATATCCTTTATTTTAAGAAATCTGAGTAGGTCCTTCTGATTTTAATTTTCTACCCTCCCACCTAGGGTCCATTTCTCCACAGGTCTTTTTCTCCTCTTTCAGCTGTAGAACTAGATACATGTGTATCTCTGAGGCCTGGCAGGATAATAACAAGCTTACTTGTTCTTATTACCTCTTACAGGGAAACCGGTCAGCCTGAGCTACAGATGTCCTTGCCGATTCTTCGAGAGCCATGTTGCTAGAGCCAATGTCAAGCATCTGAAAATCCTCAACACTCCAAACTGTGCCCTTCAGATCGTGTAAGTCTGAGCATCATCCTCCAGGAATATTGCATCTAATGGGCATAGTAATGCCTAACTGATAAAGCTAGAGATAACACATGCCAAGTGTCCAGCCTTGAACTTGGCATAATTAGAGACAGTTGTTATTACCACAAGGACTTTGAGTATACCAAATAGGAGTTTCCAAAGCCACTCTTACCATTTGGTGCCTTGCTGTGCTTATAGTGGTCCTTGTTTCTTCTTTCCATGCTTCCTCCCTTCAGCACAGGAAATGGCAGCACATTTGGATGCATTTCCAGACTACAAAAACACTGGCTTCACCAAAGTTTGTACTCAAGTTCATTAACTTATCCTCTGCTTGTAACAGTTTGGTCTGTCCTGTCAGTTTCAGGGCTTTGATATTATAAATTAATTCTTACATAGCACAAGATCCAAATTCAATTGAAGTCATCTTTAACCATTATCAGCTCAATTTTGTCAAATATAATACATGAGGTTTTGTTTTCGTTAGTGCTAACATTTGATTTCATTCACATGGAAAATGAGACAAACCAAAATCACACATACATGAGATGGAGATATGTGGCCTGCAGTGCAGGAGTATGGACAAGTTGTGCAAGAAAGCCACCCACAGCTATCCATTAGTTGGCCATTCAGTGTTCCTATATACCTGTGCTGGCACACAGTAAGCATGCTAGTGTGTCTAGACTCCAAGGGGTGATGCTAGGGGTCTCCTCACCTCCTGAAAAGTTCCAGTGCTAAAAACCAATGGGACAAAGCAATTACAATAAAAGCTGAAACTCCCTAAAGACTTTTCTATGTAACACAAACTGTTTTTAGGTTTGACTTTTCTTTGTCTTTTTTCCTCCCCCTAATGCCTTGATATGTGTGTAATTTATAAATGTTTTAGCTTATTACTTATTTTGAAGATGAATACTTTTACTTATTTTGCTTATAATAAAACACTTCATGTTCTTTAAGAGGAATTTTATCAGGCATTGAATTTAACTTGTATACTCTTGCTTTATGTACAGATTATGCTATTTTACTTGCCTAGGGATGTACATTGAAGTTGAAGAAGCCAAATATAATTCTTAGGTCTGGGCATACACAAATCTAATAAACAGTAGGATCCAGATTTGCGCTCCCATACACTTTGCTACAAGCTATATCCCTCTGCACAGACTCCTCTGGGTGTCCTAGAGCCATTTTGCTGCCCTTAGCTATCCTTATGGACCTGTGACTGACTGGCCAGAAGTGTCCTTAGTCTTCATGTGGTACAATATCACAGATTACCTGGTAACCATGGTTTTAAGGAGAGGGGTATGAAGTCCAGGTCCTCCTCCAGGAGTTATCAGGTAGAGTGGCTATGAGTGGAGGTAAGAAGGGGGAGGGAGTTGAGGTATAAACTTCAACCTGAGGTAACTCTGAGATACTGACCATACTATGCAACTGCCACTACCTGTACCTTCTCTTTCAAGCTCAGTGAATGGAACTTAAAAAGAGAGAGAAAGAGGGAGACCAGGGAAGATTCACTGAACTTGTAAAACTCTCTGGAAAGCATTTTCAGGCAAATTATCTACACTATGACTCCCCCAACAGGTGTCTGTCTAGTCACTATATTCTCATCCTTCCCTGCACTGCCCTTTCCTCACTGCACTCTCACTGCCCACCTGTACTGCCCCTCCCTTACTTCATTCTCAACCACCACCTGCATTACCTTTTCCTTGTTATGCTCTCAACCCCCACCTATACTTTCCCTTGGTCAATACGACTCTACTCTCACTTTCACTGCTCCTTCCTTATTGTACTCTCACCCCTCTCCTGTACTGGCCCTCTCACTGCACTGTCGCCTCTCCTTATCCCCCAGATTATTGTAGGCCCCTGCCTCTAGGCTTACTTTTCTCTCTGTCTTGCATGTAATATCAAGATGATTTGCCAAAATAAAAATCTGCTTCTGTTACCCTCTAGTTATAATCCTCACAAGTTCTCATAATCTTGCAGACAAAGTCCCACATTTTTGCCTGTACATCTGGCCACAGGCTTCTTGAGCATTCTGTCTCTTGCTGTTCCTTCACAGACTCCATGTTCTATTACCCTCTCATGTATTTGTACTTGTTTTTTCCTCCTCTTTTACTTCTCTTGCCCAATTCCTACTTATCCTTCAAATTCCAACTCAAATGATTCCTATGGGAATTCTCTGCCAAACAGACATCTGGCTTCAGTAAGGATCCTGACACGGGTATTAGTGAGCAAATGCACAGGTCACAGAAGTCCTTCCTCCTGTTCAGCTGCACACAGTCACCTTTTCTGTTTTTGCAGGGCAAGGCTGAAGAACAACAACAGACAAGTGTGTATTGACCCGAAATTGAAGTGGATTCAGGAATACCTGGAGAAAGCTTTAAACAAGTAAGCACAACAGCCAGAAAGGACTTTCCACTAGAGCCACTGGAGGAAAGCTAAAACTGTGTGAAAGTCATGAAAGGGCAAAGGTTTGGGTAGAGGAAGGCCTTACTGGTGAGGGCCAGGTATGCTTGTGGGGCAGCACAATGACCTGGGAATGGGTGGGAGGTTTTCCCAGCATGTAGACTCTGCATTTATAGCATATGGTGCAATACCACAGCTTCATTCATACCCTTGCCAATTGGCTGTTTTATAACTGGGTTTTTTCCTAAGAAATTGTATTATCTCAACAGTATTTACCACCAGTCACTTTCCTTATGACCATCACAATCATCATCATTCTCATTATTCTTTTTTAAATCAATGATTCCTTTAATATCTGTATTTGGTTTGTTTGGATTTTTCCTCTTCTTTTCTGGGGAATCTGGGCCCAGTCAGGTGATGATGGCAAAGCATGGAGCTCAAAAAAGTATCCTTCCTCCAGAAGCTGAGGTATGAAGAAAGACTGCCGGGTGGCTCCTGCAGGGCACACCCCTCCTGGAATAAAGGTCCAGGGTAGCTCTCAGATACTGACCGTACTATGCAACTGCCACCACCTATACCTCCTCTTTTAAGCTCAGTGAAAGGACCTGTGGGCTCCATGTAGAAGCAAGCATCACCGGGGGCTGTGCTCAGAGACCCTCTCCCAGTCATTCCTGGCTTCTCCCTGCCTGCAAGAGCATGCTTTCATCTCACTTCTACTTCTCATTTCTGTATGTGCTCAGGGGAGGAGGGTGGTCACTGGAGCTACAGCTGAGTCCCCTCCTCCCTTTGCCCTTCTCCCTGCTCAGGCCCTTTGTGAGAATTTGCTCTGGTCTCCTCCAGAATGGGGCTGGCTTCCACCTGGAGCATGGAGACCACATCTCCATCTTCCCATGAAAGACAAATCTTTGCAAAATCAAATGCAATTTCAATCTGAGAGCTTTCTTTGAGGAATTTGGTTTCTTTGATTGCCTCTGAAGCATGTGTGTGCCACAGAGGCTCTACAAATGCTAACTAAGCTTTCTGAAATCTGATGTGAAAAATTAAATGAATAAATTAGCCTCTTGCCATTAACTTCTGCTCCTGAAGCCACATCAGCTACAATCAGAAATGCTGGCAAGATGAGATTTCCACACATAAATGTGATCCACAGATGGGCCTGGTGGTATTTGTAACTTTTTGCAAGGCATTTTTATACATTTTTGTGCACATTTTAAAAACACTTCTTTATAAACAAGTGTATTTCAGAATATATTTATAGTCAAATAGTTCATACATTTGAGTGGAGCCATATGAATGTCAGTAGATACATTTCTCTATTATCTTAAACTACTGGCAATTTGTAAAGAAATATATAGAAATGTGATTACAGCTTTTGAATGTTGGCCACAGTGTATTTTTTCACTTGTACTAAAATTGTATCAAATGTGACATTATATGCACTAGCAATAAAAATGCTAATTGTTTCATGGTACAAATGTCCTACTGTATGTGGGAATTTATTTACTTGAAATAAAATCTATTAGTTGTTAGATGTGGAGCTCTTACATATTTCCAAGTTTGTGAAAATAAGCTGGCATGCTGGTCAGGTGCCTTAGATCTCTCCTACTGTGTTCACATATGAGTAATAGCACATGGGCTTTGCTCAGGACAAATCTGCAACTCAAGTTTTTGCATTTTTTAAGCCAATGAAAGCAGCAGTGCTAGTTTTCTGAAGAATGATAGTTGATTCACTAATTCCTTTTCCCCTTCCTTCTCCTTGGTTCGCCTAACATCCCCATGTAATCTCTAGAGACTCAATCCTTATAATACACAGCTGTCACATTTTCCCATGTAAAAATCCCATAATTCTACCCCATGGTTAATATCAAGCTTTCTCAGGAACAGGTGGCCTTATCCCATAAATCATTAAATATCATTCAGCTTAAATCATTTTAATGTGACAGTCATGAGCCAGTTGTTCTAATAAAATTTTGCTAACCACCTCTCTCCTTCATTCTTCTGAACAGTCTCAGTCATTCTCAGGGTGTCTCCACAGGCATCCAGACAGGAGAGAGCAGGCTGCTTTCTTTCTCCTTTTCTGGATGGCCTTCTGAACCTTGGGCCTCTAGCCTCCGATTTACAATGCACAGATTTTTTAGATGAAAAAGAGTTCAGCTTTGCATTGAGGAAAAAGGAAGCCTGGGAGAGAAGGTGAGTTGAAATAGAAGATCAAGTTCAGCCTGGCTCTGGTTTGCCTTCACACCCTTTTACATGAGAATTCCTTTCCCCATTGGAAGGCAATAGTGGGAGCCAGGGTCAAGTTGACAAATTTATGATTGCTGTAATCAGTTCACAGGTGTTGTGGAAGCCTAACATTTTTCAAATGAAGGCAAATGTCTAATTTATTTTAATGAGGTACTGATGGACAGCGCTTTGCCCAGGGGCCTTCAGGCTTGAGTCTGAAGATAGAGTGAAACCAATACATGGACTAGTGTTAAATATTGTGCAGACTGAGACAGACTCTTGTTTATCCCAACATTATTAATGGTTCTACTAATTTTATCGAAGGGGGCGCAGAGAAGAAAAAGTGGGGAAAAAAGAAAAGATAGGAAAAAAGAAGCGACAGAAGAAGAGAAAGGCTGCTCAGAAAAGAAAAAACTAGTTATCTACCACCTCGAGATGGACTACAGTGCACTCTCTTCTGGTCTCTCCCAGTGCTTTGTAAATTTGTTCTAACCCGTCCTGCAGAGCAGACCCCCTGGCTCCTGGGTAGCCTCTCAGACTCCAAGGGGGAGAAGTGGTTTGCCACCCCTTTGGTCACACTGGCTCCTGTATTTACGTGCTTATTAAGGTCCTTACTGGTCTGCTAAATAAATAAGTAGTTGTATAGAGACTGGAGTTGGGTTCTGGAACATGAAGACTCTGTGCTCAGGACTTTATGTTGAACAGCTCAAGACTCTAAAATGACACAGGATTCTGTCTAGAGAGACCTGGGTCTCCCCATCATCTCTCCAAATTTCTAAGTCTGCCACTCTGCCCTTTACTCAGTCTCTTAGGAGGCCCATAATTATTCGAGCTTACCCAGATCCACATGCTTGGAATATGCCTTCCTGTTTGAGACTATCTTGTGACTGCTTATCACCCCATCCATCCAAAGCCATCTGCAATCCCAGCAGTAGAGCCTCTGCCAGCAGAGGGCATGTATGCCTCATGCGCTCTCATTTGCTGCCACTAGTGCTGCCCATCCAAACCTTCTTGGGTCAGAGCTGGCTGTGGCCATTAAATTTGCAGGTGATAACTGACTTCTTTATCCAAGTTCTGTTGCCAGACCTCCATTTCTCTGCTACCTGGGGTGGGACTTCTTCAATTCCCCCCCCCCCAGGCCTGGGGATGTGTGAGTAGCTTTACCTCCTAGCTCAGGTAGGCTTCTGAGGACCACGGTGAGAGAGCATGTGTGAGCTCTGTTCCCAGAGAGCAGATGTGGAAATGCTTATCAGGAAGACTCTTCACAGGGTAATTCATTTTGTAGATTCTTTACATGGGTTCCCAATGATGTGGAGGAACTCTGCCAGGGGCCTGCAGTTCTGGGACTTCTAGCCTGTCCCTTCCCCTCCTTCTGGAAGAGACTCTATGGTCCTTTGCAAATATTTGTAGGACACAGCTGCCTCAGGTCTCACCCATTGGACATATCTGCTTAAAGCGACAAGGTTTAAATTCTAGAAATTTCTCATTGCCTTCCTTATAGAATTATGTCTGAGATTTCTGGCCAAGTCTCATTTGGAAGGGAAGGAGGGGATCATGGGGGAGGAGCAAGGCCTGATGTCAGTAGTGTTTGAAAAAGGGATACCTTGCAGATCTACTGTTTTTGCTAACCCCCAAAACACACAAACACACACCCTCCAACCTGGTTATAGTTATAGTATATGGATCCAGAAAGATGAAGCGGATGGAGGACATGGAAAGTGGATTTCAAGAGAAGGGGGCTCAAGGTCCCTGTGTGTCAGACTCACCCATGTTATACAGTGCTGTGTCCCCCTCCTGCTCTATTGTGCCTCTTTGTGACTACATCAGAGAGTATCATAGCCTTCCTTTTTCCCCACTGGAGAAGTGTCCTGTTAGGGCCCTGTAGCCAGAGACGTTTTGTTTCCAGGGTCAGACATTTTAGCTGGCTAACTCTCCCAGCCTGGGCCCATTTCCAGTACTGGGGCTAGCAGGCCTGCTCTGGGTGAGTAGGGGCTTACTTCAGTGACCTCCTGCCTTTGAAGTCACGTAAATGTTAGCTGGATGGCCCAGGACTGTAGTCCTTCCTGATAAAGTAGCAGCATGTATGTCTGTGGGAGCCTGGCTGGGCTATCCCTAACTCTTAAAAATAATACTGCCAAGAAGGTCAGACCTATGCACCCATGTTATCCTTCATTCTGCACACTGTGGGAGCAGCCATCTCTGTGCTGAGAGGAGTTGCAGGTCCCTCCTGTGCACCACAGAGAGATGACTGCCCTGCAGTAGCAGTGGGTCAATCTATTGCTGACCTGAGAAGGTAAACTGCTTTCTGCAGTTCTCAGGAGGACCATGCCTTCTACGCAACCTGGGGGAGTGGGAGCTGTGGGGACTAAGAGAGCTGGCCTTGGGCTTCACTCTGTCTGACAAGCAGGTGTAACCCCAGCTCCACTGAAGTGTCCTTGGTTGCTGGGGAAGAGCCAAAGAGCCGGACCATAGTGCTGCTGTGGGTTGACACAGGGCAGTGTTTACATGACTGCACCAGGTGAGTGGTATATGAGGCTACCCCTGCACCAGCCCCAGGGCCACCCTGGCTGGTCCACTGAGAGGCCTTGAGGTTACTGGGGATGGGGGATGGAAGCAGTGAGTGGTGCAAAGGCCCTGGTTGTGTGAAGCCAGGCCTAACATCTGCACTGGATAGTGTGCCCTGTCCTGTCATGTAACCACTGTGCCAGGCTGGCTCTGTGTCCTCATTTATCTGCCATGACCCATGCTTACTGCACCAGTCTGTTCTTTCTACTTCCCACCTTCCATCCATCCCTGTGCTGCTTCAGCCATGCTGTCTCTCTCATTCCCCTCCTCTACCCATGGCCTATGAAAGGAGATGCTTTGGCCTTGTGATTTGGAATTCAAAAGTCAGAAGTGGGACCCTGCTGTATTAGGCTTGGCATCTCAGTGTAAGGCCTGGCTGCTTCAGGAACCCGCTTAATTGTGTCTTCCTCTCTTCTTGTTAACAGGAGGTTCAAGATGTGAGAGGCGCAGGTTGGGTCAGACGTCTGAGGAAGCCTTACTGGGGGAGGCTGGGTCTGAAGCCAATGTTAGGAAGGGCCCCCAGTGGTTTCCTTGTGCAGCCCAGACAGGTCATAATGCGTTTCCCAGAACTTTGTTTTGCACAGTTTGCCTTTCTTTCACTGTCTGATTATGTAGCAAAATATAATCTGTTTTTTTCCATTTAGCTTGATTATCCAAAGTCACTGGTGACAGATAGGAACTTAGACTAATATTATTTTACTTGCTTTATTATAATATCTTTATCATGAAGCCCCTCATCTGACTAGGGTTGCCTGAATTTTATATTCCTCTGACCTGCACAAGCTGGGACCCCAGACTGAGGGAGCCTTGCCTACATTATCATGTCCTGGGATGGGGAGCCACCAGGAGGTGTCAGGACCAGTCAGCATGAGCAAACCCTAGTGAAGGTGGCCCTGTGCTGAAAGGAGTTAGGGGAGATTAGGGTCTAGAGTGCCAGGCAGAGGGCTCATCTCATCCAGGTGAGCAACCCAGGGCTTCCCTGAGTTGAGGCAGGGAGGAGTATGAGGTCATGGTAGGGCCTCATCCTGAGCTCTCCTCAACATCTCATCATGTTCTTCTCATCATCCTCTCTCTCATCCATCATCATGTGCATCTAAGACAGCCTCCATGACCTTGGAAAAGGACTCTCTCAAGACAAAAGCGTTAATTTAAACTGGGCACCGAGAAGCAAATCAAAATGTATTCTGTTACAAGGTCCAGGAAAAACTGTGCACCTGTGTCTAGTTTGGAATATTGTGTGTTGTCCAATCTTGTTTTTTTGTTGTTGTTGTTGTTCAAAGCCATTATCCTTGGTGCTTCATTGTCAGTTCCCTATATGCAGAGGCTGAGTGTGAGGAGATGCCCCATGGGCTTTTAACCTGGCCCAATTAGGGCTGTAATCATTTTGGGTGGATAACCTTGTTTTCCCCACAAATCACAAAGCTCTGGTGGATCCACAGAGCCCAAGGGAATTAAGAGTGCAGCAGCACTGACCTCTGAGGACACAGACTCTCAAAGTTACCAAAGATGTTGATATCTCAGAACTACAGAGAATTTTGTCTTTGTAGTGTCAAGCTCAGCATTGTTTTTTGGGACTAACAGGAATAACAAGAAAAGAATGTTTAACTATTTTTATTTGAAAACCCAATCCATAAAATAATTAATCCTGGGTATATATTTTTACCCGATTAAAATCTAACTGCATCTTTTTCACCGTTTGGCAATCCCACCAGCTGTAACTTTGCACAGTGGGCCCTGGACCTTCTCTGCTGCATCTGTCACCTTGTACTTCCAGGATGTACAGCAGGGAATTCCTCTTGGAAAATGATGTGACATGGGAAATTTGGTTAAGAACCCTGATATTTGGGATGTTTCCCTTTACCAAGGGCAGTGTGTAGAATTAAACAATTTAAAATTTTCACCTTTTGAAAAGGAAGTCACTAAGGGTTTTTCCCCTGTTTTGTTTTTTATTTGGCCTGACTAATACTTTTCCCCTTTGATTAAAGATCCAGTAATTTTTTTAATTAAGAAAGGGGGAAAAATAACGGCAATACAAGGAAATGTATCCATTGACAGAACACTGCAAATAACATGTAGAATGTGTATTATAAAATGATCTTGGATTGTAGGTGTTTTTAGATTTAATAATCTTTGGATTATCAGTAACACATGTTAGGCATTTCCATAAGTATTTCTTAAATTGAATCTTCATGGCAGAAAGCCATTCTGTCAACCAGACACTCACATCCTTCAACTGGCTATGCTATATTTAAAAAAATAAAGTATGGGGAACTTGTATTAGTTATAAAGGATGCAGCTTGGTTTCAAGACACTTTTAAAATTAACCTGTCACTACATGGCTTCTGAATTATACATGAAACTATTGAATTTTCGATGGGAGGTAATTTTTCAGGTAATCTAAGATATTTAAAAGTCTCATGGAAAATGGAAGCATCTTCTTTTGGAATCCATGAACCAGAACCATTAAATCTGCTACTCTGAGAAAATGAACATACCCCTAAATCTTTACTACAGTTAAATAAAGAATCATTTCTGTTTCTTTCCTATAGGAGGAAAAATGGGTAAGAGTAGAAACTGCAGGGAAAATTACTTGTGTAACAATGTCTCTATGTGCAGTCTGCTCCTAAAAGGAAACTGACCTCCCAGCTAAAACAGATATGTGTTTAAACAGTTCATTTGCAAAGAAAATGGCTCTTTCGCTGTTGCTTTCAAAATATAAGTGAAGTGCGTCAGGTGATTAGGAGTCACACAGCTGTTCCTCCTGATCCAGTGCTGCCTCTACCTGACCTTCCCTTGGGCTCAGTGTAACCTCCAATGCAGTCCTTTGCTGCCAGCCTTTGCATCACATGGGGAGGTTGGACTAGGGGACTGGAGCTCACAGGTGTGCTGTGTTTGGAATCTGAATCTGAATCTGTGCAGTGTTTTGTTTGTACTGTTCTTTGTCCTGCTCTGGCCAGATGCTGAGACCCCAGCGAGGAGGCTGAGTATGAACAAGTAGAGGGCCCACATAGCAAAAGGCTACAGTGCCCCTGTGTAAGTCCAATGGGCGATTTGATTTCACCTTCCTTTTGTGAATGCTGCCTGGTGTGATCACCATGAGCTCCCTCACTGAGGCTTCAATTACTTTTCTCAGGTATTGTGCCCTCTGCAGCTAGAGGAGAATCATCGTGGGGTCCTGATTCCTTTACACCTCTCCCCTGACCCACTCTGAGGGAACCTCAATCCTGGGAATCACTCCCCAGGAACACCCATGTCCTTCTCAGCAGGCTTAGCCAAGATGAAAACCCCCACAGGAAACTTGTTATTCCCCAACCTCTCTGGACTCTCAGTCTCTGAGCAGTGATGGGTTCAGTGTTAAATGTGATAAATACTCTACTTTTTTTTTTTATATGCATCTCCCAGATAATGTGAAAATGGTCCAGGAGAAGGCAGCTTCCTGTAATGCAGTTTGCTTTTTTAAAAAAAACAAGTAACAATTTCTTTTGAGAAACAATTTCTACTTTCATATCAATAAAAAATGTATATGCACTTATAATTGTTCTAATAAAGACATATATTCAAATATAGCAGCCAATGGGTTGAAATAAGTATTAGAATTTGGAATTTTCCAGACTTGGTTTTTCCCTTAGATCACAAGGGGGTATGTAATTCTAGCTTCAAAGGTTAGTGGAAAACAGGCCATTGTAATGCTAAACATGAGCAAGATTTCTGGGGCCATTGCTGCCTCTCCCAATTCACTGATCCTAAGCTGGGAAAGACATACCCTTTTTCAGATGTCCTTGGTTTTGCTGGAATTGCTTCTTAAAGACTAGGTAGACCTTTGCTTCAGAAAGAATGGTTTTGTGCAAGGCCCTACTGTTGGGAAGTCGACCTCATGCTTTAGTGGAACGCAAACAAACAGAGGCACCATTGCTGAAACCTTTGCTGTTTCAGCACCATGTGCCTTTCTTTTTTTTTTTTTAATTTTATTTAGTTATTTTCCAAGTACAATTTTTTTTGTCTATTTTTCCCATCCCAGCATCCCCCACTCCATACTCCCCACCTTCATCCCATTTCCACCCCCCTTAGTTCTCTTCCCTGTGTCCTTCATACTTGTTCCTCCAAATCCCTCCCCCCTTTTTTTCCTTTAAATTCCCTTCCCTCTCCCCTCTGGTCAGTGCCCACTTGTTCTCTATTTCAGTGTCTTTGGTTTTTTTTTCTGCTTGCTTGTTTGTTTTGTTGTTTAGCTTCCTGTTAAAGGTGAGATCATATGGTATTTGTCTTTCAACACCTGGCCTATTTCACTCAGCATAATGCTTTCCAGTTCCATCCATGTTGTTGCAAAGGGTAGTAGCTCCTTCTTTCTCTCTGCTGCATAGAATTCCATTGTGTATATGTACCATAATATTTTGATCCACTCATTTATTGATGGGCAGCTAGGTTGCTTCCAGCTCTTGGCTATTGTAAATTGTGCTGCTATGAACATTGTGGTGCATAGGTTCTTTGAAATTGATGTTTTAGGGTTCTTAGGATATAATCCCAGCACTGGAATTGCTGGGTCAAAAGGCAGGTCGATTTTATTTTTCTGAGAAAATTCCATACTGTTTTCCATAATGGTTGTATCAGTCTGCAATCCCACCAACAGTGAAGTGAACTAAGGACCTGTTTCCCCCACAACCTCTTCAACATTTGTTGTTTGCTGCTTTGTTTATGATAGCCATCCTGACTGGTGTAAAGTGGTATCTCATTGTGGTTTTAATTTGCCTCTCTCTGATAGCTAACGATATTGAGCATCTCTTCATGTGTCTCTGAATGTTCTGTATGTCCTCCTTGGAGAAGTGTCTGTTCAAGTCCTTTTCCCATTTTTTATTTGGGTTGGGTGTCTTCCTAGAGTGGAGTCATGTAAGTTCTTTGTATATTTTGGAGATTAAACCCTTGTCTGAGGTATCATTGGCAAATATGCTTTCCCATACAGTTGGTTGTCTTGCTACTTTAATACTGTTTTCTTTAGCCATGCAGACGTTTTTAATTTTGATGAGATCCCATTTGTTTATTCTTTCCTTTATATTCCTTGCTCTAGGGGACATACTGGTAAAATGTTGCTGTGCGAATTATCTGAGATTTTCTTGCCGTTGTTCTCCTCTAGGACTTTAATGGTGTCACAGCTTATATTTAACTCTTTTATCCACCTTGAATTTATTTTGGTGTATGGTGTAAGTTGGTGCTCACGTTTCATTTTTTTGCACGTAGCTGTCCAGTTCTCCCAACACCATTTGTTGAAGAGGCTATCTTTACTCCATTTTATGTTAGTGTCCCCTTTATCGAATATTAATTGACTGTAGAGAGTTGGGTGTATTTCTGGGCTCTCTGTTCTGTTCCATTGGTCTATGTGCCTGTTTTTATGCCAGTACCAGGCTGTTTTGATTACAGTGGCCTTGTAATACAGTTTGATATCAGGTATTGTGATCCCTCCTACTTTGTTCTTCTTTCTCAAAAGTGCAGCTGCTATTTGTGGTCGTTTATGGTTCCATATAAATTTTTGAAGTGTTTGTTCTATGTCTGTGAAATATGCCATTGGTACTTTCATAGGTATTGCATTGAATCTGTATATTGCTTTGGGTAGTATGGACATTTTGATGATGTTAATTCTTCCAATCCATGAACAAAGTATATGTTTCCATTTGTTTGTGTCTTCCCTGATTTCTTTCTTCAGGGCTGTGCAGTTTTCTGCATATAGGTCTTTTACCTCCTTAGTTAGGTTTCTTCCCAGATATTTTATTTTTCTTTTTGCTATATCAAATGGTATTTTTTTCTTGGTTTCTGTTTCTGCTGATTCATTGTTAGTATACAGAATATCCAGAGACACATGAAGAGATGCTCAATATCGTTAGCTATCAGAGAGAGGCAAATTAAAACCACAATGAGATACCACTTTACACCAGTCAGGATGGCTATCATAAACAAAGCAACAAACAACAAATGTTGGAGAGGTTGTGGGGAAAAGGAGACCCTAGTTCATTGTTGGTGGGATTGCAGGCTAGTACAACCATTATGGAAAACAGTATGGAATTTTCTCAGAAAAATAAAATTGACCTGCCTTTTGACCCAGCAATTCCACTGCTAGGATTATATCCTAAGAATTTTAAAACATCAATTTCAAAGAACCTGTGCACCTCTATGTTCATAGCAGCACAATTTACAATAGCCAGGAGTTGGAAGCAACCTAGGTGCCCAGCAGTAAATGAATGGATCAAAAAATTGTACATATACACAATGGAATTCTATGCAGCAGAGAGAAAGAAGGAGCTACTACCCTTTGCAACAACATGGATGGAACTGGAAAGCATTATGCTGAGTGAAATAGGCCAGGTGTTGAAAGACAAATACCATATGATCTCACATTTAACAGGAAGCTAAACAACAAAACAAACAAGCAAGCAGATAAAAAACAAAGACACTGAAATAGAAAACAAGGGGACAGTGACCAGATGGGAGAGGGAAGGGAATTTAAGGGAGGGAAAGGGGAGGGATTTGGAGGAACAAGTATGAAGGACACAGGGAAGAGAACTAAGGGGGGTGGAAATGGGAGGGAGTTGGGAAGCACGGGGTGTGGGGGGCTGGGATGGGAGAAATAGACAAAAAACTGTACTTGAAAAATAACTAAATAAAATTATTTTAAAAATAAATAAATAAAAGAAAATGAGTTTGAACCCCTGATACAGGTTGACCACAGTGTGTTTGCCAAGTTGCATGTGTGCTAGAGGAAAAGAGAAAGGTTAGAAGAGGCTATAGTGAGAGGCATCATGGTATACTGAGACAAAGGTGGGTGTGAAAATTAGGAGACAGGTGCTTAAATTCTTGTCTTTCTGCTCAGTCTGGTTTTAAAACATACATACCCCTTGCCCTTAGTCTCAATCTTCCCATCAACAACTTTGATGCTTAGTAACATGAGGAGACATGAGGATGAGACTGGAAGAATATACCAAGGAGCCATTTTTCTCCCTCAATCTGCTGTTCCCTAGGATCCATAGAGCTGGAATCAGTTCACACCTGCCCCTACTTAGACCTTCAGTTAAGCTCAGATACCACCTGGAGCTGCAAGTGATTCTGTATGAGCTTCTCACTCTCAGATGGCAGCTGGGGAGAAGCCTCCTAAGGGGCCTCCTAGGTTCCCTGAGTGCCTGGGTGTGCTGGTTCCATATACTCTACCACTGTTCTAATTCTAAGAATTAATCAATCTTTGGGGTAAATTTTCACCATGATGTTGATTATTCACAATGATGTTGCATTAAAAAAAAAGGCCATGGTCTTTCATGCTCCACAAAGATCAAGGCTAATGGCCCTCATTACTCAGCTGGTATCTGTGATACTGACTAGGTGGTGTGGAGACTGTGGTGAGCAAGACAGCTTTCTCCATGATTTCATGGAACTGCAGTCTGGGGGACTGGCTTACAATTAAGTGACCATTTTCCTAATGCATGGTAAGTGTAGGACAGGTGTCAGGAAATCTAGAATACCATCAAGGGTTGCTAAAGGAAGAACTGGTGAAGCTGAGATCTGAGAAAAGTAGATTCTTTGGCAGTGATCTGACCCACGAGTGCCATTAAAAACCCATGAGGGGTCCTGCTCTGATTTAGAAACAGGAAAGTTGCCAGGGAGGGGTGCAGCTCACACACAGAGCTGAGCTTGAGGACATTGGGGGCTGGATTTCAGCCCCTCACTTCCCTTACTGTGCCCTGTGTAAGGGACAAACCTTAAAACTGCTCTAGAAGAGGTAGGACCCCCTAGGAATGGGGTCCTTACAGCTGGGAGGCCCCATGAGGGGGCTGCTTGACACAAGTGATTAGTTGGTAGAGATACCTGGCTGAGGCTGGCCAGTCCAGTTTTCCATCCCAGGAGACAGAGCTGTGATTTGGTCCACTTCAGGTCTTCAAGCTGTCTCTGCTTACATCTGAGAGCATTGTATATGGGAATGTGGGGAGCAGGAGACACAGGAGCAGAGGGAGCTACAACTGCATGAAATAGTTTCAGAGAGAGAAATGAGGATGAGAGACTGGTTAGCTCCAGAGGAAGGTGACATGTGGCTGCCCACAGGTCAGAGTGGCTGGGAAGGTCTCTTGTGTGGTCCAGTTGTACATCTTTTGGGGGTCCTGTCTATTTTAGGTAAATCCTGTTTGACAGCTAAGATAAGACAGCTATGCTAAGTGCATCCAAATAACCATCATTAGGGTCGATTAGGCAGACGGAGTGGGCAAGGGAGGTAGAGTGCAAAAAGGCTGTGGGGTAGTGTACACAGTTATGTTGGAGAGTTTCTACCCAGCCCCTTTTCTCTGCCCAGCCTCCCCAGGTGTCTTTTTTGGGTCCATTATCATGGAATTAAACTCCAGAGAAAGACCATTCCGACTTGTGCCTACTGCCCTGCTAGGACTGATAAATGAATAAGAGGCATTCCCTAATACCTACTCGCCCCCATAAAATGTGCACATGTTCAGTTTAGGGCCTAAATGCTCTTCCCTCCTTGAAGGCACCCACCAGCACCAACACAACTTGCCCAATGTCAGTTGTGAGATGGCTGCACCATAGCCTATGG